TTATGAATACTGTGATGGCATCCAGCGCTTTATCTGTGCCTTGGCTATGGCACTAGAGTGCCTGTGGTCTTTGGTCTCACAGCCAACTTCCACGCCTGTGCCCTCAGGCTTAAGGCTTTTTAGCCAAGGATTAAGGGAGACAACCCTGGCAGGAAACATGCCTGTGCCCTGACAAGAGAGAATGCTTGTACCCGCTAACTTTAAAATCACGGCATAATACAAAACCAAAAAGAGATACAAAAAGTCCAAAAAGGAAGATGACACAAAAAAAAAAGCAATTACCGAAAGCCAGGGCCGAGAGCTCCTCCGGGCGAGCAAAACCGCCCGGGGACCTCCCTGCCGGCGCGACGGGACACTCACCTTGCCGAGGCCCTGCACGTCCTTGCTGCCGATCTTCTTGAGGAGGGCGTGGGGGGCCGGGGGCGCGAACTTGGCCAGGGCGCCCCGATAGTCTGTGGGGAGCGCCCTCCGATCGTCGCGGCCGCCCTTGGAGCGCCCATCCCTGCGGCCGGAGGAGTCGCGGTCGCGGTCGCCGGAGTTCCTCCTTCGCCGGCGCCTCCTCTCGCGGTCCTCATGGCGAGACGGGGACGAAGACACCTGCGGCGACGCGAGCTGGCTGGCTCTGCGGGGGGACAGAGGGAACAGGTGAGATCGCGGGGTTAATCACGATAATTACAGGTGTAATTCCACCAGGGCTGATGATAATCGTTACCGGGAAGGTCACGTGATGTTAATGAAAAGAAAGAAGCGGCGGGATCAATAAAAGGTAATGGTGATTGCAAGAGAAATCGGGAGCTAATGGGACCGCCAAGCGACGGCGTAAATCACAGGTGCAACAATACGAAAATGATCATATATCAAAATCTGGAGTTAAGATAAAGGCGGCGATAACCCCAGGTGAGATAAAACCAAAGAAACGTGAGACAATGTGAATGCAAAGGAGAACACGTAATGAATAAAGGCCTCGAGTAATAAACAATGCCGACTGAATGTTTGCGGATGTTGTCATGAATACAAATGTGATCATAAATACATTTACATACTCATGCGTACAAATAAAACGAAATATATTGTACTTATAAGCACCTAATTGTGTGTGTGTGTGTGTGTGTGTGTGTGTGTGTGTGTGTGTGTGTGTGTGTGTGTGTGTGTGTGTGTGTGTGTGTGTGTGTGTGTGTGTGTGTGAGTGTGTGTGTGTGTGTCTCTGTGTGTGCGCGCGTGCGTGCGTGAGAGAGAGAGAGAGAGAGAGAGAGAGAGAGAGAGAGAGAGAGAGAGAGAGAGAGAGAGAGAGAGAGAGAGAGAGAGAGAGAGAGAGAGAGAGAGAGAGAGAGAGAGATTTTCTTTACGGATCCGCGCTCCCCCCCCCCCCCAAAAAAAAAAAAAAAAAAACTACAAATAGAAAGAAAGAAAATGCCAGGCGAAACCAGCGCTTCAATCCTTCTCTCACTGAAAATTATATCTCGTGTCTCTCCGCCCTCCTTAATGGTTTTGAAGAATGCCCACCGTCTATTTTTTTTCTTTTTTTGGAACGAGGTCAAACACGTACGAGATCAGGTCATGCTAAGCTCTCCTCCTCCTCTCCCTCCCTCCCCCCCTCCCTCCCTGTTCCCTCACCCGTCCATCCAAGTCGCTGTAAAACATAGAATTATCGGAAACCGGCGCCCAGACTTCAATAATATTTCTCATTTCGAACTCCCTCCCAACTTTACCCTTCCTTGCCCTCTCTAACTCCCTCCGTCCCTCTCCCCCACCCACCCTCCCTCCCTTCCTCCCACCCACCCACCCACCCATCCACACACCTCCCCTCTCTTCCACCCATCCACACACCTATCCCCTCTCCCCCGTCCCTTCCACCCACCCACCCATCCACATACCTACCCCACCCACCCACCCCCTCTCCCCCTCCCTCCCCCCTTTCACCCACCTACCCACCCATCCACACACCTCCCCCCATCCTCCCCTCCCCCTCCTCCCTTCCACCAACCCCAAAGAAGAAAAATCTACGCCCAGTGACCTGCCGGCGTGTCCAAATCTTGAAATACGGAGGTAACGGAAAGGAGAGCAAGGGTGGAGAAGGGAAAAGGGGAGGAGGGGGGGGGAGGAGGAGGGGGAGAGGTTAAAAAGGGGGAGGGAGGGAGAAGGAGAGTCATTCCAAGTGGCACTCGAAGTCGTAATGTTAAAAATGAGGTCGTAAAGGGCCATGGACGAGGAGGAGGAGGAGGAGGAGGAGGAGGAGGAGGAGGAGGAGGAGGAGGGGGGGGGGAGCGAGGTCGATCTGAGGTCAGGTTAAAAGTCATGAAACATGGGGTGGAGGGGAGGTGGGAGAGAGAGGGTAGAGCTGGGTGATAGCTGGAAAAGAAGGAAAAGAAGAAGAAGAAAAGGAAGAAGAAGAAGAAGAAGCAGAAGAAGAAGAAGTAGAAGAAGAAGAAGAAGAAAAAAAGAGAAATAAGAAAGAAAAAAAAAAGAAAAAAGAAAAAGGTGTCTGGTTACCTGTCCTGCTCTCCGACTCACGAGTGTCTCGGCAGGAGGGAGGAATTGGGGGGGGTGGGGGGGTTAAGAAGATTAAATCGAGGGTTAAAAACTTGTCAGAATTTGGTCCAGTGGTTAAGCTATTTCTGATGAGACAAGAATAAAATAAAACTAGGAATAACCAGTTTCCCTTTATTTAAAAAATAGTTCAAAATAACAACTCTATTACCATAACATCCGTATAAAAACAAAAATAAATAATAGAACAATTTCTGACACGATATTAACATGAAACAAGTCCCTAAAAAAAAATAAATAAATAAAAATAAATAAATCTCTTCCAATCTTCGACCCCCACTAAAACAAAAAAAAAACGCCATAATCTGCAAAAAAGTCAAAATACGTAAATACAACTCTTGCCTCCCCCGCCCTCCCCCCGAAAAAAAAAGAGAAAATCAGATTTACTTTGAAAAAAATCTCCTTCTTTTTAGGCCACGTAGGCAGGTAATTCGAGCTCTACATCTGCCCCCCCGGCTAGGCCTATAAAGAGCCATTGTAGGCCTCCTAAGTGCATCTAAGACAAAGGCAAGGCAAGGATTGTGTTTCCGTTTTATGCACCTTCAGTTACGAGGGCGACAGAGTGGGGAGAGAGAGAGAGAGAGGGGGGAGAAGGATCTCTGCCTATCTACTACGTTTATATATTCGTGCCGACGGAAAGGGAAGAGAAGAGGAAAAACGACGAGAGAAGGAAAGAGGGAGACCACGCGAGGCTGGGCCGAGTGCGCGGGCGTCGCAGACAATGGCTCCTCTTTCCCTCGAATTCCCGGCCGGCATTCCTGGCTCGCTCCTCCGGCGCCGACGACAAGGCAAAGCGGTCGCGCCCAGCGTCCAGGGCCCCGGCGGGCGAGGCGCAGCGTGGCGCAGCGTGGCGTGGCGGAGACATCAACAGCCACTTTTCGGGCGAGTGTTTTCCCTCAGCGACAGTTAGGGGCCTCGTTTCGCATTCTTCGCATTTGCTCAAGACGAGTCTGTCGCCGCCTGTGTCTTTGTGCGTGCGCGAGCGTGCGCGACTAAGCGTATCATTATGTGCGTGTTTACGTTTCCGCGGTATGCAAAGGACGGCGCTGAGAATTTCCTCTACTGCCCTCGTTCTCAAAAGGAAATAAGTGATAATGAGTATCGTCAGCAGTATCAGTGATAATGATGATAATGATAATTATAATAATAGAAAATAATTAGAATAATAATGATAGGAAAGACATGGTGACACACATGGTCAATACCAATAATATTGCAAGGTAATTACTGGACAGGGAAACAAGATCATATCGAAAATAATAACAAATGTCTATCACTAACAATTATTAGTCCATAAACACAGCAATAATAAATAGAAGCAAAAGCACCCATAACGCAGTTCATAACAGAGAGCCGCCCCACCCCCCCGCCCGCATCCGCCCCGCCCTCGCCGCGTCCATTCACGGGTAACGAAGGTCTGAAAGCCCCCGCAAAGCCCGCCCTTCTTCGCCCTCGCCTTCCGCCTCCTCCAGCCAAGAGTCCCAAGATGTTTGTCTGTTACGGAATCATAAACCAGAAGTGGCCTTAAACCGCCGAGACAAGCCCAACCGCCGAGAGCTCACTCGTATATGTTTTTATTTTTCTTCATTTTTTTGACTCGCAGTCCATTCTTGGTTCATAATTACATGCAGTTCCCAGGGGTCTCGCAGGTGAAGACATTTTCCTGGCTGTTTCTACGGGGCATTTTGAATTTTTCCCCAGCACAAACACGGGCCGGGCTTTGTAGCCAGCTCGGCCTTTCAGGCTACACTAAACTGTTCTTTTCAGTCCGAAAAAGACAAGAGTTCTTGAGTTCCACAGTGATATTTATACACCGCAAAGAGGACCACTTCAAAGCTCCCGCGCGGAACACTAGACCCAGTGGGCGCGGGGGACTCATTTTTTCTCTCTTTCTCCGTGTTCTCGTAAACGTTCTCACTTTTTTGCCTAGTCTTTCTCCGTTGGTATAATACTAACCTCTTGCAAGTTATTTTTGGGCAAAATATTACACGTACTTTTCCCTCTAACGCGTGTTCTGTTGGTGAGCTTTATAACACGGGGCCTTGGTGTTAACTGACCGCCTGTTTTAAGAGCGAAGGGAAAAAAAAATGACGGAAAAACGGTTGTTTCCCCGCCCAGCTTTTGTGTTTTCCTCTCTCCTAGCACACGCCTTAATTATGCTATTCATGTCTGTCATTCCTGGTCCCTTTTTTATATAAACATTTTTTTTACAACAGTTCTTATGGAACTAATTTGCATATGATAAGACCCAGTGTCTACACACATTTCAGGGGTGACAAGCGTAGAAATTCATATCTTTTTTGTTTATGCTATCGTATTCAATCATAATTAATGCATTCCATTCACATATCCACATTCTTTGTTTCCTTCTATGATACTGAACCAACAAAGATACAACAAAACCTTAATATTAAACCTTAATAATTGCACAAAGTTCAGAACAAACCAACCCGACTTTAATGGTGAGTTGTATAAAAAAAAAGAAAGAAAGAAAAGTTTACATGCATCTTTTCCTCACAATTGTTCAAATTACTTTGGACAAGATGGTAAATGGAGTGAACTGCAAAAAGATGGAAAATTGATAGCACAAAAAAGAGTAACAAATGAAAAAGGAGACAGACTCGGGAAATCACTTAGGTTTATCATCTTATCCAGCCTTGCCCTTTGCCACTCAAACGGCAGGGAACGTCCTGATTGGCCCATTCAAAAAAGCAAAACCGTTTTATTCGAAATGGCTGTAAATCGTCTCACCTGCAACGGAAATAACGAACGGCAATCAGCAGGCGACGAGACACATCTAATTATTCGCCGGCGTCTTGTAAAGTATTCCCTTTGGCAAAAAACGCTCCTTTGTCACATAATTCTAGGACACTACGTCAATTTCTCGAAATGTGACTGGGGGAAGTAAATACAGGGCGCACGCAATGGCCACGAATACATGCAAAGGACGGAAATGAGAATAAATACTAGTGGGCTAACATTAACGATGAGAAAGATAAAGGATAAAACACGCAGATAAAAAGGAAATGCAGAGATCCAAATGACTACATAATTCTCTACTGCACAAAGAATCAA